TTTTTTTTTTTTGTTTACTTTTTTTTTTTTTTTAATTGTGCTGTGGGCTTAGCGGGGTATATGCGGGCTATCTGCGTTATGTGCTTAGACGGCTAGGCACTGGCAAGTCGGCTGGGTAGGGACAAGGAGACAGCTCCCTTGGGATGAGGTTGCAGTCTCGCTTTCGGGACAGTGTGGGCACTCAGTTTGGGAAAAATTCTCACGAGCTGATCACTGCCTAATTCTTACCTCAAGGAACATTGATTGCTGGCCAGATGCAGAGAACGGCGTTGGGCTCCGTTGAACAAACAGACGATCTCTGTTGGGTTATAAGCTCGAAAATGGTTCGGACCAACGCCAAGTGGGGGCTGGGTTTTTGACTCTAGGCAAGCTGGGCCTGGTGAAAGGGACAAAAGTGAGGCCATCCGTATCAGAAGTCAAGCGTAGAGGGTATGCAAGGCGGTGCCAAGGAGATAGGTAGGTATCAAGGGGTCATTAGGGGAGCCACCCGGCCGACAACGTGTGTTTAGGACATCATACCCTGCCGTGCACGGACGGCCTCGAACCGGCACCCTCCGCCACAGGAACGAAGTATCGTAACCACTACAACCCTTGGAGGTGTTATAAAAACTGGATCCATACCGGTCGTGATATCCAGCCCACCTCCAGGGCTGCAGCGTCCTTGAACTCGACACCACACACCCAACGCACACCACACCACGGAAGGGTGGTAAATTTGCTTGTAGAGGACCGGTAGCGGCCCATAGGAGGCTGGGGAGGCCGTGGTCCTTGAGTTCAACTATTCAAAATTAACACGGCGTGGGGGGACTTTTCTCGAATAGAAGCGCACTTCGAACAGAGTGCGTACGAGTTGTATACGAATAGCAACACGCACATTGTCTATTCGAAAAGAAAAATCTCTTGTATTTGAATAGAACCTAGGCTACCAGCCGGGTTCCCGGGGTCACCCTGTTTCCCGGGCGGCCCGGCCGTGCAAGGTCCAGGGCAAGGTTCCAGCCAAAAAGGTAAAAAAAAAAAAAATCAGAAACCAGAGTGTCCCGGGGTGGGGCCAAAAACAATTAAAAAAATAAAAATAAAAAAATTATGTTGACATTTTATTTGTTTTTCTAAATTTGGTGCAGAATTTCGATGTGACCCTGAGGCAAACGTTGTTCAGTTTATTTTTCTGCATAACATAGTTTATTTTTCGATTTTTTATATATTTTTTTGTTTTTTTGGTGGGACCTTCCCTGGTCCTTGCACAAGCTGGCCACCCGGGACCCGGACGGCCCGGCTGGTAGCCTAGGAAAAATCTGAGAAAAAAATTCAAAAAAACATGTTGTGCAGAAATATAAACTCGTCACCTTTTTCCTCAGGGTCACATCGACATTTTTTACCAAAAAAAAAAT